CATGTAACAGCTTTCCTCATGTTTATCGATTTTGGAAGCGCAGCTGTAAAGGTTACAGAGACAGTTTCCTTTTTCTCAAAGATGTCTCGAAGCAATGCTTCCAGTGAGAATGTGAAGCTGCTCACCTGCTTCCCGTCACACTAACAACCCTTCATTTGTCCAATCCACGACTCAGCCTGGTCCAACCCATCCACAAATTAATTCCTTACTCGCAGAACTTCTATATAATATTCAATCAACCGATGTGGACTTCTTGGGTTTCTATCGACATTCCTGAGATTCTTATGGTAGGATTTGCTCCCGGAGTGGTTCGATGACCATAATTAAGTCGCAAGACATGAGAATCACGTCTGGTTTACCTAATTTTTTTGCCGGCAAAAATGGAAACATCAGGCTTGTACTCGGCTGATATACCTCCCCTTCAGTGTTTGCCATCCCAGCTTTGGAGAATGATCCGAACTCTACTAACCACAAGGTTTCGGTATTAATCGCTCTCTGTGGAGCCTTAGAAGATTTGGCAATTCAGTGGGTCTGCTAGAGGTTTCTCGAGAAGAGCAACAATAGCAAGGTCTTTTGATTACGAGGTTCGATCCAGCTTTGCTCTTTTATCAACCCTGGACCATATGCCCAATCCCGTAAAACAACTTTGTAAAGCAGGATTCAGTTAAAAAGGCCACGAAGAATGTGTCGTACAGAAAGCGCTGCTTAAGTGATTGGTCTTTTTTAGAGTTCAACATGGTCTGGTGATAACTGGTTCACTTACTCCTGAGGCTTGATAACCTGCTCCCCAGTCTTTGTTCACTTCATGTACACCTGGATCATTGCCCATTGATATGCGGAAAACATTGCTATTAAAAACTGAATCTGCTTAATTCTTTAGTGCTCCCATTTTTTATTGTTAGGGAAGCTTTTTTCAGTTTTTTTTTTCAGTTACATGCAAGCGTGAATCACAGAAAAAAATTATGCCCCTCTAGCTCCAAAGATATGGAGTCGTGTAAGGGATAAAGAAAGGGGTGTTTGGAGAGCACAAACGCGGGTTCGAATTCCGTCTGTGGCCGAAGATTTGCTCACAGCTCGTCATCCTTGTAAAACTTTGGCTAATTAACCCTAGCCAACACTAGCACAGTCCCTTTCACTTGCGCCTTATGTTGGTAGAAGATCTTTGGGTAGGTTAACTTTAGAGAGTTTTCAGCCTCGGTTGTGCGTTTGTGCATTTGAACATATACCGATGTTAGAAATTCGAAGGCTGACTTAACTACCTCCTGACTAGCTGAAAGGGCTAGCCGACCTAACCTTCATAAGCACAGCTCACGACAATTTTGTGGTATTTTTGCTGGGTTGAAAAGCGTAAGTGCAATTTGTAATGAGCAGTGCCTCGGCTGTGACGAAGAAAAGGAGAAAATCCACACAATTCGCAAATATAGAGCTCCTGAAATTAGTGAATATGGGGTTTGTACGAGTGTATTATGACCGAAATGGTATGGGAGAGTTTTTGGACGATATTCATTCCTGTGCAATTGCGTAATGAGATAGCTACAATAAATCAAAAATTCCGAAAATTCCCTTCCACTGTCACTATGAATCTTCGGAACTAGTTGTCTGCACTTAATACGCATGGTCCATTGTGAATGGTGCAGCCCCGAAACGTCGCTAAAACAAGTCCATCTTTGAGTGTGGACATCGATGAAGCCAGTCTTTGAGCCTCTCTTGCACCCTATCTATGTATGCCCCCGTCGAACCAACAGCTACCCCTAGGCCATACATAAGGGCCACAGGTTTGTCCTACTTAATCTCGGAATCCGTTTCATAATGAATTGAAGGTTTAAGTGCGACCTTTCTGAAAATCATTCTGCTCTACTATTTTTCATCCAGAAGAAAGTCTTTTGCATCAAAAGCAGCTCATCTCTGCTTCTCGGAACCCCGAGGAGCTTGCTTTCTGTAAAACCTGTGTAGATGCAATCACATCCTAGGGCTTCCGTCGTAAGTGCTTCCAGAGCAAGTATTGGGCTACGTCTTTTTCTCCCACATGAAGGAAATTCATGGCCTGAAAAGTCGTAAACATCTTCTTAGANGGAACCCCGAGGAGCTTGCTCTCTGTAAAACCTGTGTAGATGCAATCACATCCTAGGGCTTCCGTCGTAAGGGCTTCCAGAGCAAGTACTGAACTACGGCTTTTTCTTCCACATGAAGGAAATTCACTGGCCTGAAAAGTCGTAAACATCTTCTTAGAACTAATCATTTTTATATCGACATAGAGATCAGTTTTTCAAATCTCCTCGAGCTTTCAACCACAGAGTCGCTAAGCTGGATTGAGCGGAGTACATGAGCCCAATTACCATTAGTGATGTAACAGTTAGCAGTAAATTGTAATGTAGTAGAATCCCAAAGACGGGACTCTGTTTGAATTGTTATCTACCATGGGATAGAACATTTCTCGGCGAAACACTGGGACCGCCCGTTTCACCACCCTCTTGAACCTCGAACTTTCGCTCCAAATCTGAGATCCTGCCAAGAAGTGGCGCATGAAATGGTTCCAACTAAAGCGCTACCCTACTATGTAGAGTTGGTTTTTATACCTGCATGGAAGGATCTAGGTTATCGCTTGTGAAAACTGAATTGGCGCTCCTCGAAAGTTATTCTTCTAATCAGAATAGGTGTCCACTTTAATCTCGCCGTTCATTTGATCCAATTACGACGTTTCAGTGAACGTCTACACTAATTGAAGAAATCTGACTCGTAAAAGGCTTCAGAGGAAATTATTTCGGCGTTAGTGCAATCGCAACTAGTCGCTTGTCGATCCCGGATCGTTCAAATAGTAGGGGTCTGTGTATCCCCAAATATTAGTTTGGAGCCGATGTACGGAGTTTTCTACTTTTTCAAACGGAGCAGAGAGGAGTCGCTAGAGCATAGGAATGTTGAGCCCAGAGTTCAGAAAACGGAACCATATGTGCCTACACATCAGCTTCTTGAGAAATAAGGGGTTTGCAAGTTTCTTGACCTGACGTCATGAGTTAGTTCTACAAGTCATAGAGCAAGTTCAATTTCTTGCGGGGATGATGAAATCGGATTTTCGACCTCAAATTTAGGCATTTCAAGGATCTTGGGTGATCCTATCACAGCTGAAGCTAGTCTAATGCTAATTAAAGTTACTACTCCTTTGATAGTGCTGAAGGACAACAACAACAACAAAAAATTGCTCATTGTACTATTAGGCCTATTAGGTCTGGCAGTACGAAATCTGCTAGCTCACCCTAGATAAACTGGTCGGGTGAAACTACTTCATAAGCAATATGTAAACAAACAAGGACTAAACAACAACAACAGAAAACAATTTATAACCTGGGTACACACCTCCATTGCTCCAGGAGTGTTGATTCTAAGGAAGGGATTGTTGAACGCCCTTCATTATTTAAGAAGCATCGTTACTTGCTCCTTAGTGGAACCGCTGCAGTCAGACTGGTTGACAAGGTACCCAGCTGTCAAGACCACGCTTCTTTCAGTTTCTTTAGACCTCCAATGATTTCTCTTGAACAATTGCACCGTCGGACCGTATCCGTTCGCATGTATAAGGCCGGCCGAACGAAAGTGAGAAATGGAGCGGTGAGTGGGGGAGAAGAATCGAAGACGCTGACCGGGTTTTGGGAGTCGTCGCGCGATATTTCGCTACCACCTCACTCAAGGTCGTTGCGGGGTCTACGTGGAGGCGCAGCGCAGCAACTACGACGACAGCAGCGGACTCACTACGTCTAAGTGTTCTCTTTATGTGATGTGTCCGAAAGAACCATACAGCATCACCCAAATCCGCTCATCCGTCGATCTGTTAATCCTCCTGTCCCCAATGGATACTCTTCCGTCTTATCATTCCTCTGATATATCTAGCTGAAGCCTTCTGCAGAAATTTCTCTCGAGCTTCTACCGTCTTTATCTATCGGATATTCTGGAGGCTCTTTTTTTTTAATCGATAAATCATTTTCAGGAATGCGGTCGCTTATTCCGCTGACAGCTTTGTTGTGCTCTTTAGCCTTTATTTTGCCGTCCAAAGCAAATAAATTTGAGCAAATAAAAGACATATACAGCAATCCCTTAGCTCATGGTAGGTAATCCTACATGGAATTTAGAAGTTTCCCGAAGAATATTCGTCTTTACAAAGGAATTAATCACAGGATTTGGCGAGGATATCGATTGGGTTCCATGGGAAGATGCAATCGAAAAGGCCTTGGACACTAATAAACCGATTTTCCTGCTTATTCACAAGACATGGTGTCATGCATGCAAAGGTATGTGACTATTTGGATTGTTTCGAGATTGTCATGAGTGTGTCGTATTTGCACGAATGAGAGTGTGACTTTTGAAATGTGTGCTACTGTTTTATGCAAACCAAAGAACCCGTTCCACAAAGGTCATCATGATCGAGTCCATCAAACGGGACGGGGTCACGGTCGTTCTATTGATTTCTCGCAGTCTTAGTGGGGGATCTAGTAGTCATTTAGGGATCTATTTTATGATTCAGTGAGTAGGAGGACTGGGAAGAGGGTTCGAAGCTTGTGGCCATAGCAGAATGGCTAGCAGGTTAGATCGGGTGATGGTAGTGCATGATCCCCTGAGGATTCAATCCCACAGTCAGATCAGAATTTTATTTTCTCTATCTACTGAATTTCACATTTTCTTCAGAAAGGATCCTATCGCTTAGGGCTGTTAATCCCTGTGGGTCAAGAGAAAGCCTGGGAGGTAGTAGCTTTTTACACTAAGTTTGATCACTCTTATTGGAAAACTTTTTGTCGATTCTCCAGCCTTGTANCAATCAATCCCGTTCCGAGAAACACCCACACATTCAATTCCCATTCGTAATCGTAGCGGCGACTAAATGAGCATCTGGCCTACAATGACCTGTGGGGCCTGTGGGGGTCAGCTCAACTAACTACTAGTTAGTTTTCTCGAATAGATCTGATACCAAATAATCTGTTCCGGAAAGCTGAAAGGCTTGAATGACTCAGGTGGTAGTAAGATGGTGGTGGTGATACCATTCCCGGCCGGTACGTGCAAAACCGTGCTACTGGAATCACCTCAATCTCGCCCGGTGATAAGTCCAGATCTGAGTATTACAGTATAAAGTACTCTACCGTATCCAATGTTCATTTCATTTTTCAGCACTTAAAAAGACTTTCCAACAATCGCATGCTCGTAAAGCATTCAAAGCCCTCTCTGAGTACTTCGTCATGGTGAACACAGAGGATGATGAGGAGCCATTCGAAGAAGAATACCGACCAGACGGAAAGTACATCCCAAGGCTGTTATTCCTTGGTATGTACCGGTTTAGTTTAAATGTTACAGTAACTGTTTTCGAAACAATTTATATTGATTAATCTATTTTTAGATAAAAATGGTGATCTTCTTGATCAATTCAAGAATAAGAAAGCTGAATACAAGAATTATGCCTACTACTACTCATCACCTGCTGACATTATCAATTCAATGAAGGAAGTCTTGCGATTCTACGAAATTGAGGTGATAACATTATCATGTTTGCTGTACTCGGGCCAGGGTTAGCTAAAGACTCTGAGTGAATGAAAATTAGAGGGGAGCCATATAAAAATAATAAAACTTTGGGAATTGAGCGGCGCCAGCCATATCAGGTACGGGCCCTTTCGGCGCCACTGTAGGTGACATCAGTGGCGGCGGGCGGACGAAAGCGTTTCGGTAATTGGGCATAAAACCCATATCGCCTTTAGTAAGTTCATGGTAATTCGTCTGTTTCGACGGCGCTAGAAGCAGACAGGCGCCGATGTTCGAGAGTAACTGCCTATCGTTCCACATTTTTCTTGAATAACTGTCCAAGGGTCAACTTCCATTCGATAAAAAGCAGGAGCGAAACCCGATCCTCCTACCATCACTGTTTTGGAAATTGGAAATGAAAAGAAAAGACACTGGCTGCTGTACCCCGATCTTAATTGGACTCGGTGGACCCTGTAAAAACCGGAGCCCAGGAGCTACAATCCTTGTGTTATGATTATGATTATGATTTATTATCGGAAAGCAAAGAAAACAAC